TACACAGGCTTTTCCTGCTTGAACTGTTATTCACAGCCCAGACCTATCAGACAGAGACATGTCACCAAACTTGCTTTAATACTGTTATAGGTGCAAAAAAATCTGTGCAAAATGTTGTCCAGAAATGCAATTATTCGTTATTACATTATTACATAAGATAATTAAATATTTGAGCTATGTCATTAGATGCTTTTTCAGAGGACCTAGTGTGAAACTTCCCATAGGAAATCACATGATCTTCAGACCACTGATGTTGCTTACTGAGCTAATCAAACCTGAACACAAAGCAAGTCAGGATGATAAATCAAACTCAGAAAAGTTGTTCTATGCATTAATAATATTTATAATCAAAACATGAAAGCAGTTCATTCAGAAAAGTTTTTATTGATTTAGGTTATTACAACAAATTACATTTGGTTTTATTAGAACAAACAACTTTATCCAGATGCTTTGAGTCATTTAAACATTCAATCACAGGTCAATCACATCTTACATTCTTTCATAAATTAAAAACACAGAATAGAAAAAAAAGTCAACTACATAGTAAAATTAGACATGATGATACTGTTATTTTGCTAATAAGCTTAAACTATTAATATCGATTAGTAATTTTCATATTCTCGCTGCCATTGTAATCAACATCAACGCCTCGGAGGTGGAAATGTAACATATATCATTCGTGTTGCAAGCAGTTCCTGTTGAGCACCATCTGACAATTTCAAAGCATTTACATCTCATGCCTCTCATCGACCAAAAACAAATACTTCACTTACAGGAAACTACTGTTTTTCAGATTTACTGAGTCATAGAAGTGGACAGGCTATGAATAAATAAATAGAAATGATCTGAACCAACATAATCTCAAGGACTACAGACTCTAAGCACACGTCCCTTAAATGCTTCTGGTTCAGTGGCGAGATGAATATTCTGACAGGACAAGATCTGGACACCTTTAATTCAAGGTTTTTAAATGGATAATTTACCCAAAAATGAATATTCTGTCATCATTTACTCACCATCATGTATTTCCAAATCCATACAACATTGGTTAATCTCCAAAACCAAATAAAGACATTTTTAGAGGGTTCTGTCTCTCGACTGAAAGTCCAGGAAACCGAAACTTCAATTTATATGATGAATTTTTTTTCACATGTTGTATAAACACACATGCATCAAGCACATTGCATATGGTAAACATGAAAGCTTGTGCATGCATCACACGCTAAATAAACATCACTGGTACTCGCATTATCACACATTTGAGAACATCCATGTTTACCATATGTGATGTGCTCTATGTATGTGTGTCGATCATTGTTTAGATGACAATAAAAGCCTAAATTTAATTTGTTCAACTTTATGACCTTTTTGGATTTTCTAGGTTTTGGTTACCTGGACTGTCAATGGAGGGACAGAAGCCTCTTAAGGTTTCATTAAAAATATCTTCATTTGGGTGTTGAAGATAAACAAAAGTGATACAGATTTGGAATGACATGTAAATGGTGAGTAAATGATGACTGAATTTTCATTTATGGGCGAACGATCCCAAATCAGATTTTTTTAAAACAATAGATGTTTTTTTTTTTTTATGAACAATTTCTTATCAAAGAAAAGTTCCCTTTTTCCCAAGGTTGATGATTTAAAGAAGAAACAGACAAATGATGATAGTGGTGTGCTTCATTAGTGATCTGAACGAGTTGGAGATCTCAATCTCAGTTGCGATGTTGTTTGAGGATGAGCTGGTACTCCATCAATGTGAAATTAGTCAGCTTGGCAATCGCCTCCGGAGCACTAAATTCACTGACCTTCTGGTAGCCCATGTGCTCATAGAGCTTCTGTGCATCAGTCTGGACCACCGACGTGTGAAGCAGTACTCCTCGAAAACCACGCTCACGAGCGAAGTCAGCCACCGTACGGCAGAGCGCTTTGGCGATGCCTTGTCCACGGTGAGTCTTTTTAACCGACATCCGCTTCAGTTCCAGGAAGTTCTGGTCTTTCTCGGCAGGCAAACACGCTACTGTACCCACAACACGACCCTGGCTCTCAGCCACCCAGAAGCAGGCGTTAGGTGGATCCAGGTAGGTCTGCTGAATGTGGTTGAGATCTTGTTCAAGGCAGGTCTGGATGTACTTGGTGAACATATAACTCACACTCTGCCTCCCTGCGGCCAAAAGCAGCGTGACTGCTAGTACAGGTAATAGGATGGACATTGAGCTGGTCAGCAAAGCGCAAAACACACATCCCAGAAACATCTGCGCTAGGGGCTGTTTGAGAACGTGCATGCAGGACGATGGGATGTGCTCGCTCATCCCGAGAGTAAAAACCTCCTTTACTTCTTCATGATCTTCCTCCCGGTAGCGACGAATCTGCACCTCAGCCATGACCTTCAAATCAAGCATGACATTAGAAATAATTACACTGTAAGCTAAAGACTGTGTTTCTTAAATCCTATTACATCTTGTCATTATCATGTTTTGTAAGTGAACAACATTTCAGATCTAGGTATCGATTTAAGTGATACACGTGCATTTACATACATAACAGATTTTGCGTTTACTTTACATAACAAAACATTAGATAACAACTACTGTCTCACTTTGCCAGCCGTAGTGTTTGTATTTGTATCAAAGACAGAATTATATAGTGGCACAGAAACTCACAGCAAATTTCTCGATTACCCGCACGCCTCGATCTTGATAAGACGAGATTTCCAGGTTACTGACCTTTACTCGATGACTGCGGGCAGCCAGTGAGGAAATATTTAAGGCATTTGTGTGTTTACGGAAGTGTTTAGGGATTTATTTACTATGACACTTCCAATAATTATTAACTGTAACAATATGCATTTAAATTTATGCGAATTGAAAAAGGCTTTTCCCCTGCATTTTCGTTCATTTTAAAACAAATAAAATAGACTTATCTCACCTGGACTGTAAATGATCCTACTAAAATTAATGCTTTACTTTGTTTGTTCCGACGTTTCTTCTTCTCTTTCAAATTGACAGTTTGAGAGGAAGCACTATCGCCATCCACTGGAGAGGAGGAAAAGTGATACCGACATTTTCTTTTTCTTTCTTTCTTTCTTTCTTAAATATGTATGAAAACTGGGTTTACAGGGAACTGTGCTGTTGCCCAGATTATGCCATTTTAAACACTCATTTACAAAGATCGCAAGATTTTGAGTTAAAGTCCAGTTTCATTAATATGTGTTTAAGAGTCAGTGTTCGGTCAGTGTGATAGCTATTTGTTTCGTTTTAATATGATCAACAACTGCTAATAACGCTGGCCTAAAAGTGGCTGGCAAAAGACAGATTGATGATCAACCCACGTTTTTAAATTATTTAGACAGTAACAAGGGACAGTCAAAATTAAATTTAGAGAAGCACAATAGCACATGCTATTAGATTTGTATAAACTGGCAGTGTAATGCAAAGGAAGAATATGGTCAAACCTCAAACACATGAACACTAGCGCCATCGACTGGACAGAAACAAATATATAGGGGATAGAATGTGATGATAGTCTGCATCTCAAGCAGAAACTAACGATGCCTGTGTTATTATTATCGCCCTAGGACATGAACCGACACAGAGAAAGCAAGGCAATTGTATTTCTAGAGTACATTTACAAAAGCCAAAGAATAAAAAATAGGTCTCCAGATTAGATTAAAAAAAAGATCATAAAATATTGAATGAAAGCCTTCTGGAGCGGTAGGCTAACCAAAACATGTTGTACTAGGGACTGTAGCCAAAAGCCCTATCACCACAGAAATTATTGATTTGTGATCTGTATTGCTTAGTTTTACTTCCAGCACACATTAGAAATTATTCAAAGTTCAACTGCTGACCAGTTTTCCTGCTCTATCATTGACTCGGGAATTGGGATCACCCCTATTCACTCTGCATTTGAAACCATTTCCAAAAGTGTACTGAGACATGATGAGAACAGTTTAATCAGACTATACCTGCAATGATTTCAGTTCACACAGCAGCACAAATACATTGTCATAAATTGCATCACCACGTGGACCATGTTCCACTACTGCTAGATAACTATAAATATCTACATCTACAAACTTCCTGATTGTCCTGGTGCCCTTATCAGTAACAACACTTTTCATGGTTGTTACAATTGGGCCCCTCTGCTAAACTTTTTTTTTTCTCCCTTGTGTTATAAATCTTTAATTGTTATATGACTTTTATCAGGTCAGTGTGTAGAGAAAATCAAAACTGAAGTATCCAGGTATATAACGAGTGGCTATGGGTGTTTGGCGAACTGTACATGAATTGTAGGAATACTGAGTGAATTTCAACGTTATATATTGATTCATTATGTACAGTGTCATGATTCCTTGTCACAGATTGTCATGACGTGTTCTCACATCATGCATGTAATGGCATTATTAATGAATGATTATTGATTAATGGAAAATTTTAACACTATACTTTGTGTTATATTGGCATTAAATTATTTATTGTATTAGGCCTACTTATTAAAAAAAGAAAAGAACAAAAAGTTAACACCGCTATTGACAGGGAAATGGCAAATGTCACATTCCTAAAGCAAAATGCATTACATTTAAATATAGAATATAAAACTTTAAGTGATATATAGAATACTATGTATGAAAAAACAAAACCTTACAGAGAGCATATTGGCATTTACTTGTCATAGTACTACAGCAAACAATTATTTAAATATTATCTGAAAAATATATACTTTGTGTAAAAGTTCAAATCTCAACATTTTCTGCCTAATGTTAGAATTTAGGAGAAACATCTTTAGTTCAATTCATATTTATTTGTATAACTCTTCATAATAAGTATAATTAAAAAGCAGCTTTACATAAAATAATGGCATATATATAGCTAGTGAGCTAAAGGTGACAGTGGGGGAAAAAGCCATCAAGAAAGACAACAAACAAAAACAAACTAGAGAGATGAATGTTTAAATAAATACTTTTTTCACAAACAATGTACAGTTTTGTTTTTTAATTCTTTTTAAAATACATTTGGTAAAATACATTTTGTATCCCAGACCTTGTTCTAACTCAATGGAAAGGAATTAAAGGTTTAAATTCACACATTTCCCCCCTAATGAAACCAGCTGTAGAAAAGACACACAAAAGCACACAGCAATTATCTTCACTTTCATTTCCTTTGGTTAGAGACTGTGTGAACATGATACGGTCTCACTCAAAAGGTGCTTCAGCATTGACATTTGGATGACAAAGCTGCTCAGAGACTCAGTGCTAGGCTGCCACTGCCACTGAGGAATTCCTCCTCACACAGCGCTGCATTGTTGCCTGTTCACATCAGTACAACAACAAAATCTCATTAAACAATATAATAAAAATCATGTACTCCAGGACCATATGATTATGTTTTCCCCAACAGCAAATACAGCAAAAGTCTAACATACAAACTGAAAAACCAACAGTGTCTCTCTCAAGTTTTTGGTTTCTGGCACTGAAAACAATTGTTCCTTGTTTCTCACTTTCATTCGCTTCTTTCTTTCTACCCCAGATTGATATCACCCGCAAACAGGGTAATAAGCAAAATTACAGTGAATCCGGTGAACAGCCCAGCATTTTGTACCAGGAAGAACGCAACCCTTCCTCGAAAACCTTTGGAATGTGTAGCCATGATACTGTTCATCTCTGGGAACTGTAAAAACAGCAAACATTGTAATTAGAAATTTAAGGAAAACTTTTACACAACCCTCTGGAATACTTGATTCTGACTGGTCAGTTCTGGCATTTTTGGGGAATTTTTACTGTTGTCTATAACAATGGTAAATTTGTACTTTTTCTAGTATCACAACTCGGACTTTGCTCATTCTTATTTCTTACAAACGCAACTGGTGGCATCTTGCATCTCAGTTCGTAGTGCTTATAGTGAAAATGATCTTAGATGATTTTAAAATGCTGTAAAATTGTTGCTATGCTTGCTTTATCGCTAGGCCAGGTTGTGACAAAATGGGTTCTCCCTCAAAATTTGATCTTCAACTAGTTGTACCATGTACACACAAACTATAATAATTTAAAATATGTATATAATTGCTTTATAATGCATTAAAAACAATGGGACATAATGAAATTATCTTTGACATCACATTTAACCTTTACATTTAACTGTTAATTATAAGAAGAACAACAACTATAATAAACACTTATTATTTAACACTTAATTTGACTATTTATTTTAAAGATAGTTGTCATGTGTAAACATGGGTTGTATTAGCTAAGCTATCAGGCTAATAAGGTATTGATAAGCTAACTGAAACAGATTTGAATGGCTTTTAAAATGTAGTTCAAACATGTATCATAACATGTTGCAATTTTTTAGGAATTGTCGGAATTTAAGCTCGATTTCTAGAGAAGACTTGATTTTTCATGACACCAGCTGTTTTGTTTATTGTTGTTGACTTTTTTTATTCTTAGTGGAATCTTTAAGGTATAATAAAAGCTATACATTAATTTAAACTGAAATCAATATTTCATGGCCATGTTTTATGCCAACTTGTAAGTGGGTGGGATAATGTACATTCAGGCAGTCATTACTGCAATTCATTTTAAGATTTACCACAATAAGAAGATGTCTTACCATGTCTGCAAGGGAGATATAGAGGAACATCCCACCAGCAATGGCAAAGATAGCATTTGGAGCAAAACTACTGCCCAGCAGGATCCCCAATGCAAGACCGAGATAACAGCACATCGCTGACAGCAAATTAAAACATGCAGCCTGACCAACACTCATGCCCGAGTTCAACAGAATCACAAAATCACCTACAGAGAGACATAAAGAAAATCTGACTTTGTGTAAAAAATGACGTGCTCTTTTGATGATAGGTCTCTATGTCTGTGTTTTACCCAGCTCATGAGGGAACTCTTCACAGAAGATGGCAATAGAGGTACTGAAGCCGGTGAGTAGAGAGAGTGTGAAGGACGCTCCGATGGCCAGACCGTCGATGAAGTTATGCACAGCGTCACTGACAGTGATCATCCACGCCACAGTCTTTATATTAGACATTCCCTCCCCTTTCAGCCAGCGACAAGTTAACACGCATGCATTCTGCACAAATTTAACAGAAAACAGACTCTGATAAATCGTTCTGATCTGCCCTAGCGTAATAAAGGTAAAAAGCCAAAAAACTAAATTACGTACAAATGTTAAATAAATTCCCATTGTGAGATATTGTCAAAAGATATAGCTAAAGCTGCATATAAAGTCACTATCACAAGAAATATATAGTCACAATTGTGGTTTTTAAAGTTATATTCTGATATATATGCTATTATAAGAAGTAAACTCGGACTTGTGTAGTCTAGTATATGTTTACAAAAAATTTAATAAAAATTAGTGGTGGAACACAATTGCTTTAACTGTATGGGCGGCCTTATAGTTTAAATATTTTTGGATGGTGAATGAACATTTCTGAGAGAACTGAAGGACACAAAGTAAACAAACAGCAGTTGAGCACATAACCACGTGCAAGATCAATAATGCGCTTCTGCAAATCATTCATCTTTAATCTAATATTTATTGTGCTTTCACTGCAACAGGAAATCATGCACATTTCCTGGAGGAAACATCTCTGGGTACTAACAGGGAAATAGCAGTGTATTGATAATCCTGCGTGTTTATTTTTGTTTGATTATGTATAGAAATACATATGAATTCTGTGTGTTACCTGTTCAACGGCTGGACTCTCGCTTGGGTTGTTGGACTTTTCATTGATAGAGTTCATTTCATGAGTGGTGTTGTTTGTGATGATGTCACCGCTGATGCTGTTTATGACAACGTCATTGCTAAAGGTGGTGATGGTGACATCAGTTGACTGCAGGGGAGGGAAATGACTGTGTCCCAGCTGCAGTGGAGGTGAACCATTGAGTTAGGCCTGAAAACAGCTCGATCTGTTCGAGTGAATAATGTCTAAACACATGCAAGCTCTTACCTCTGTATCTGCTTTCAGTACCATCTTTAAAACCCGTTCAGTGAAGAACAAAATGTAAAATCCACCAAAAATCCCAACTACGTTTAGCACATAGTTATCATCTTTAGGATCTAAGCCAAGGGCCTGTTCAATTGGCAAAAAAAGATAAGAATTATTTTGAGTAATTGACTGTTTCCCCGCCTAGAGCTACATATTTTTCCATCTAAACCTTTGTAAGCCATTTTATCTCTCAAACATCATCTCATAATCTCATTGTAACTCATTCTTACCTCTGGGATAAGTTGCAGTACAGCATTTGAAAACAGTGTCCCAATGGCCAATCCAATGAAATACGTCAAGACTTTTGGAAAATATGTTTTTTTAGTCAAAGGCACCAGAAATAACCCCAACAGAGCAGCCAAGTTTATCACGGTCACGGCCAGGAAACCATAACCCCAAACTACAGGAAGGAGTTAACAGATTTACACATATTCAGGCATAACAACATTTTTTCCATCAATTCAATTCAAGAAGCGAGTAAAACTGTAGTTTCAGTTTATCACAATTCAGTGCAGTTCTACTTCACTGCATCCCAACACAGAAACGCAAAAAAAGATAAGAATTATTTTGAGTAATTGACTGTTTTTGGCCATTCTGATGTTTCCCCACCTAGAGCTACATATTTTTCCATCTAAACCTTTGTAAGCCATTTTATCTCTCAAACATCATCTCATAATCTCATTGTAACTCATTCTTACCTCTGGGATAAGTTGCAGTACAGCATTTGAAAACAGTGTCCCAATGGCCAATCCAATGAAATACGTCAAGACTTTTGGAAAATATGTTTTTTTAGTCAAAGGCACCAGAAATAACCCCAACAGAGCAGCCAAGTTTATCACGGTCACGGCCAGGAAACCATAACCCCAAACTACAGGAAGGAGTTAACAGATTTACACATATTCAGGCATAACAACATTTTTTCCATCAATTCAATTCAAGAAGCGAGTAAAACTGTAGTTTCAGTTTATCACAATTCAGTGCAGTTCTACTTCACTGCATCCCAACACAGAAACCTAATGCAGGAAGTGTATTAGGTTTCGGTACTGGGATGCAGTGAAGTAAAATACTATCTCTTGTACAGTCTGTTAGTGAGGACATCATTACCATATGAAATGGGATCAGACAAAGGCTGTTTTTTCTGAATGTGGAATGAGAAACTGATGCTGCACAGTTCAAGTCCCTCAACAAAATGAGTGAATCAACAATGTGATGATGGGTCATGGAAAATCCACTTATCAGTTCAAGTGTTTGCTCTCTAAAATAATCTGTGTGTAATGTGTGGAGTGATAATAATATTAACTTTTAACCATTATGATTCATAAGCAAAAAGGGCAAAACCATGATTACACAAAAGTGTGTATTTCTTGGTTGAGTAAATACACTGTACACCCAAAATAAATACTAGGAAATCAATCTGTAACTCACTGATAAAATGATAAAATAAGTTGATATGGTCTCCAGAGGTTTTATTGTAATCTCTGCCTATTTCCTCATTACTCAAAATATATTTTCCTGGATCCATACAGCACATTTGATTGTCGCTTCCACCAAGGTGAAGGCATTTGTTGTAATCATACTCACCTTTGTGATCAGGTAACAATGAAGAATCATTATGGTTTGAGGGGGAGGTGTAAGGGCAGGCAGGGAGCAGGACCTGATTGAGAATAGCTGGACACATCATCTCCAGATCATTGAGACTGACGGCAGAAGCATTGCTCAATCCAAAGGCAGACAGCAGCTCTGACAATGAAGAACACTACCAAAAAAAAAAAAAGTAAAAAGTAAAAAAACAAATAAACACTTGCTTCATCAAGAATTAGAATGTGGCACTGATTCTTGAGACATGGGACAAAACATGTCTCATTTTAAATATCTCCTATTACTAGTAAGCAACACCAGTTAAACAAAATTATTACTGAGTATAATGTTTGATATGCAAAATATGTTTTGGTGACAATTTTATATATAAAAATCAGTTGAAACTATAATGGAGTTTCAGTTCATTTATTTAATGAGGTTTTCAAACTTTACAAGGACGCCCGTTTTATATAACCATATAACAGTTAATTATGTAGCCAGAGTTAAACATTACCAATATATATCTTCTTTACCATTACCTATATATTTTCTTAGCAGCTTTCAAGTAAATATTTAGAATTTTTTTTAAATCAGATTTTCGGTTTCCAAACCAATAACAACATACAGAACATCAGTGCACGAATACATGATAATACATTTTGTTTTATACATGTATTAAGTAAAAAATACATGGATACATCAAACTATGCTAATCGCCAATAGTTAGGTAGCCTACAGATCAAAATATCAAATTATTGCAAATTATTAAAAAACAGAAAGAAAGAAAGAAAGAAAGAAAGAAAGAAATGGGTTATTAAAGTAAAATAAATAAATCTTATAATCCTTATGATTCAAGATGTAACTGAAAACAGGTTCCCAACATTTTGTCAAATTAAGCTATGCTGCTATAAATATATATTTTTTTCCCAAACAGGTAGAGGGGCGTCCCGTTAGTCAAGCAGAAAAGACTGGCCTTCCACAAAGCCAAAATAATTCCACATTGAAAAGGTAGACTAATCTATATTCGGCTGAGGCTCTCCAACAAATCTGACCATGCAGCCTTGAAAGATTAATCCAAAATATTTCTTTTCACTTGTGTTGCTTGTTTGTTCTAATAGATAAAGCGTTGTTTGCCTAAACAAACAGATAAAACTTTCCACTTGCATTTTTATATTATAATGCGAAAAATCCTAACAGAAAGAGTGAGACGAAAGGGTAGACGTGTCTGAGACGGGACGCATCTGCATTACCTCGGTGTTCTTCAGCGGATTGGCGTCAGCGTCGACCGACGGCGCGCGGCGGCTGGTAATGAGGCGCAGAAAGTTTTCCAGGTTTCCCGTGGACAGCGAACCGCTTTCACCGTAGAAGCGCAAAACATTTTGAATAAAACTTTCCTCCATAGTTCTATCCTTTCGATATGAATAACTTTACCGAACAACTATCCGAGAACGAGTCGACAGTCAAGACGGATGGAAACCACATGCGCACATTCGAACTAATAACAGAAGCCGCAGGTTAATAAATGAGAAACCCAATTCTTTAATTTCCTTTTCAGAAATGATTTGCAATCTCCCGGAGGTGGGAGGAACAGCTATTTGTCGACTTTACTAATCAGTCGCAATCAGTGAGCAGAGATCGCGCGAGGAAACTGCTGCTGGACGGAGGGTCAAAGAACAGCGACATGCTGCTGCCCAAACACTGCTATACCAGCCATCACTCCCTGTGTCAATGAAGCCTTTGTTTGCGCTTTTCCAGACATTCTTGCAATGTGTTCAGGTCTGACTTGAGTAACGTTACAGCCATGGAAAAGAACAGAATCTCAATATTTACACATTTCTTAATCAAGCCTATTTTTTATCAAGATTACTGACCAACCATTACTTGTGTTTTTCAAAAATAGTCACATTATTAACTAAAAATAAAAAGATTAAATATTTTATATTATTGTAAAAAAAAAAATTCAATTGATTCAAGTATTTGACAACAATGGACTATGCACTTTGTTTTTATATGGTTAGAAAAATAATATTTTAATATGTATATAAAAAAAGTAGTCTAATAATTAACAGGGTCGCCCTGAGGACGCAGTGTCCCACAATCTTTTATTCATTTGCTTTGTATAGTTGATTTTAAAGAAGCTCTCAGTCAGACAACTTGACAAGCATATAAATTCAGTAGACATCCCTGAGAGACGTGATATGAAGATTTGCAGTGATTTCTTCAGCAGTGGTGGGTCTCCATGCTCCAAAAATAACTGTGGACTTTTTAGACAGCATCAGGAAGCCATTGACATCAAAGTGACCAGGAATATTGTCAACATCCAGCCAAACATACACAGCAGGAAAGGAGCAGTGCAGAGTCACGAAAAAGTTCTGCACAATTCCAGTGTCCTTTACCGTAAACTGCAATATACAAATAAAATAAACCTGTCAGTCAGTTGAGGGATTCAATTTCTTAAGGACAAGCTCTTTGCATTCAGTAACATCTCTGTTTGTGAAGAAACACATTTTAGGAATGTAGTAAATGAGTGAATTATCTAAGGTGGGTGGGTGTGTTTGTAAATGATGAGTGTGTGAATGTATGGTTCTTACCGTGATGTTGGGTTTCTGCAAACCCTCTGCATATCGAGGAGAGCTGAGGAACATGTGATTGTGAGGGCTGATCAATTGACCTTCCGGACTACTGAGATGAAAAGCAACTATGCATGAGCGCCGTGTGCAGTTTCCACATTGCATCAGCAGAGCAGATATAGAGTGCTGAAACACAAGGGTGCTTCCTCCTGCTTTTATTTTAGTCACGTTGGACTCTAAAGAACAGACAGCGTTAAAGCTGCTCCAGCTGTGTAATTTGACCTGTGAACATGAGTATAATATGACAAATTCTGGTCAAAATTCATAAATAAACTAATGCAAGTAAACACAAAATGAAAACGTTTACGCTATAGCACCGGAAAGTCTTGTGGTACTATATGAGGTCTGTCCAAAACAAAGAATTAGGAACATGCTGTTTTTGTCTAATTTAGAGACATTAATTAAATAAATAGTTTGCCCCAAAATTTAAATTAGCTGAAAATATACTCACTCTCAGGCCATCAAAGATGTAGAGGAGTTTGTTTATTCATCTGAGCAGATTGGGAGAAATGTAGCATTACATCACTTGCTCACCAAAGGATCCTCTGCAGTGAATGGGTGCCGTCAAAACGAAAGTCCAAACAGCTGATAACACTTCAGTCCATCAATTAACATATTGTGAATTAAAAAGTTGTGTGTTTGTAATAAATCCATCATTAGGGCACTTTAACTTTAAAGCACAGCTTCTGGCCAAAATACAAGTCCATAATCAATATGACACTTTGTGCAGTGAAAAAGGCCATTCATTCACTGCTGTCCTCTCACATCAAAGTCAGACATATTTGTTTAGAATTGTTTTGGACTGCTGATTGTAAACAGTGCATAATTTGTGCATATTCCTCTCCTGATTCAGACAAGACAACTTTTTCACTGAAGAAAGCAATATTATGGAAAGAGGACTCCTATTTAAGCGTATTTAAGCTGGAAGCAACGGTTTAAAAACACCTTAATGATGGGTTTATTAAAAACAAGCAGCTTTTCACTTCACAAGATGTTAATTGATTGACTGGAGTAGATTATTGTGATGTTTTTATCAGCTGTTTGGACTCTCTTTCTGACGGCACCCATTCATTGCAGAAGATCCACTAGTCAGCAAGTGATGTAATGCTACATTTCTCCAAATCTGATGAAGAAACAAACTCAACTACATCCTGGATGGACTGAGGGTAAATACATTTTCAGCAAATCTTCATTTTTGGGAAAACTATTTCTTTAATTCTCTCTCTTAAAATTTGCATTAATATTCTAAATTAAAACGTTAAACGATTTTAACATTCTCTGATCATTATATAATAACCAAAAAACAACAGTCAATGTTACAAAGCACTACCATCTTACCTTAGCTTTGACATTGTGCTTCTCAGAGTGGCTGTCAGAGACACCATAGATCAGCAGGTCTCCTTTATCCTCAACCCCCGCTGAGAGTATAGGAGCATAAAAATCTGTAGCCCAGTAGTGTAGCATTTTCCATTTACCACCAAACTCTGAATGTACAAGAGATTTCCCAGTCAACAAGCATACTTTGACTTTGCATGCTCATGTGCACATATAAATGACAAATTAAATTAAAAAAAATGAAAAACATAGTCATGTGCATGATTCATTTACCTACAGAGGACCAGGAGGGCCCCTGCCAAATGTCATTGAGCTGCCAGTAAAGGGTGCCCATCGTATGACCTTTGCCCTCAACGATGTCACTGCGGCTGCGGCATTTAAAAAAATGAAAAACATAGTCATGTGCATGATTCATTTACCTACAGAGGACCAGGAGGGACCCTGCCAAATGTCATTGAGCTGCCAGTAAAGGGTGCCCATCGTATGACCTTTGCCCTCAACGATGTCACTGCGGCTGCGGCGGTAGAATTCTGTTTGGATCTTCACACACTGTGCCTGCATCACCTGTTCAAACCAAAGTGTGTCATATTGGGCACATTACTAATGTCCTGGAACACATTTGAGATATACACTACTTCTCAAAAGTTTGGGGTTGGCAAGTTTTTTTTTTTTATCTCTTATGCTCACAAAGGCTGCATTTATTTGGACAAAAATACAGTAAAAACAGCAATATTGTGAAATATTATTACTATTTAAAATAACTTATCTATTTTAGTATATTTTAAAATGTATGTGTATTTCTTTCTGTGATGTTACAGCTTAAAGGTGATGTGTTCACCTGAGTGATGTAAATAGTGTCTCTATATTTCTGCACCGGGTCTGTGCTGTTAGGGAGAATATAATGAAGTTCTGCTTGCTTTAGCATCTGCTGATTGCCATCTTCATGATGCTGCCGATGAGCTGAGAAATTGCTGCTGAAATCCCAGTCTGAAGACACTGAAACCTGGTTGAAGTTGGAAAAACAAGAGTGTTTGATGATGTTACATTCGCCTTTGAAAAAGAAGCATGCTTAACTGTATTAAATGTGCACTTGTAGTGTACTTCAAATCTATATTATATTTTTATTAAAAAATGTGCTTGCAAATAATGAAATATTAATGAAATAAAAGGCCATTTAAGTGTACCTAAAAAGAGTACAGTTTCATTGGGATCGGAACATAAACTAGTATTAGGTGTTCCACACTGCGACTGTCAAATCTGAAAAAGCAGACAGATTTGTATTAAGTCTAGTTAGTACCTTACTAAGTGTGGACAATGAAGGCCAGGACTGGAAGCCATACTCAGAAGCAAAGCGTGTGCGAGGGAAAGCAGTCCAGTCCCAGCAATCCTTGTAATAGCTGTAGTAGTGGGTGTCTCCATAGTGGGGGTCATAGGGGTCTTTAGCCACCCAGCCTTCCTTCTCAGACTCAACCCCATTGGTTGGGCTGGACACTAGAAAAGGACGGGTGCTGTCCTCCTGAATTAAAGCACAGCATCATTTGGTAAAGGCTTAAGATGGTACTTTAATGTTATTGTGTGTGTGTATCTCAGTCTCACCTGCAGAACGATGTCTCTGATGTTCTCAACATATAGATTGACATAGTCTTTCACGTACAGTGGTCGCGCAGCAACAGATATGTTGAACCAGTCAGTTGCTATGGCAGCTTCATTCTCATTGTTCCCACTCCAGATGACCACAGAGGGGTGAGATTTCAACCGTCGGACCTGAAAAAAATGTCCATATAATTGTAAATAATAACCGGTGGGTCAATAATGCTCATTTTCTTTCTCCTAGATGTGTCATTTATTGAAAAGATACATTAAAAATGCAATTCACACATACAATGGCTTGAATACACTTCTTATAATTTTTGAATTAAAATTAATTTTGAAATATTTTGGGGTGCAGTTCTTATTAAAACCGCTTCTCTTAATAATAGTTAAAAAAGTGACCCTTGCAGCAGTGTTATTAGAATTATTTATATTATCATAGTACTTCATATTTTTGATTAGCTTTTATTTTTTTATTTAAATTTTAGTTTAAGCTTTAGTAATTTTGTTATGGAGTTTTGTCATTTCTATTAGTTTTTGTTTTTTAGATTTATATTGAGCTTTAATTTATTTTAATTCAATTTGAGTACTTACTAAAAAAACTTATTCTATTTTTTTGTTGCCAAACAACATTTCTAATTATCATTTAATTGTTTTAATTGTATTTTTTTCATATAATATATATATATATATACACACACACACATATATATTAGTGCTGTCAAACGATTAATTGCGATTAATCGCCTCCAAAATAAGTTTTTGTTTACATGATATATGTGTGTGTACTGTGTATATTTATTATGTATATATAAATACACACACATGCACCTATATATTTAAGAGAAATATATTATGTTTATATATCAAATATATTTATATATAATATAAATTACATGAATATAAATATATACATGTAAATATTTTCAAAATATATATATGTATATGTGTGTATTTATATATACATAATAAATATACACAGTAGACACAGACATTATGTAAACAAAAACTTTTATTTTGGATGCGATTAATCGCGGTTAATCGTTTGACAGCACTAATATACAGTATATATATATGTTTCCATTTTATTTCAATTAACAACAATTCTTAATAGTGGTAATACATGATATTTGTACTAAAATACTTTAGTAAAGTATCTTCTTTTGTATTTAACATAAGAAAGAAACTCATATAGGTTTGGAACGACATGAGGGTGAGTAAATGATGACAATTTTCATTTTTGGGTTAACTATTGCTTTAAAATAATGATTAAGGAATGTACACTCACTGTATCCAAAATATATGGGAAAACATATATAATTGTTCTATTAAAATATACACTCACCACATTACATTTT